TGGGGGGTAAACGGCTTATCGCACGTAAAAAAGAAATAATGCAATGAATAAACGCACTATCAGGTGATATCTGATTTATTTATTAATGTATGTATTTTCTTTTAGTTTTCCACTATCTTTGGGAACATAATGTCCCGGACATTGGTGATTAAACATTGAAGGGATTTCTCAAAGAATATAGCCAGGAAACTTTTCATGTTTTTGTCTTCTTTGTTTAAACTAGAACAAGTGCACAGCTCAAGGAATCAACTGATCAGTGTGAAACTGATGACAAAAATGAGAAAATAAAACAAGTCCCTCGGTACCCCTTATGAGATTTCGGATCCCGATAATTAAGGCATAGGAAACAGTGAAACTAAAATCACCCCGTTTTGTACAAGTCCAAATGAAAAGTTTAATTGTGCCCTTTATACTAGCATGTTATCTAAATTCAATTACCCCGAAAATTGTCTGTTGTAAGTATGGATTTTAGCTTGCAAAATAAAGTAAGTTAGTGTCAAAAGTTAAATAAGAGTGATCATGCAAAAATGTCTATACAATACGTACGTATATACAATTTAAATTATGTTCTTAAATGCTTTAAAGTGAGAAATACAGATGAGCATGCATGTTCGACCTCTTTTATGAAACAACGAGATGAAGATTCCTTAAAAAATATCTTCATAAAAAACTATAACGTTGTGATTAATGATAATTTCTTTTTAAGATTTGATGTAAATCATGATCCGTTTAAAGTCCATTGTGCTAAACTTGATGTAACGAGGCTTACAAGTATCCCATAATTTTGATTTTATATGCATAATGTTGTTAATCTAGAACCTTCTTCGGCATAATCATACAACTATCTTTTGGGAGATGTGCTTTTCAAGCATGCGCTGGATTATACGTTTTTGGTATAATAATGCTGCATTATAACTCTCTCAACAATTAATATCTCTCATGCTGATTTCTGTTTTCATGCACTAAAATGCAATTGCCAATTTGTAAGAGTTAAGTCTTAACCAAAACGACCAAAAGAAAAATAATTAAAAGTCCTCATCCTTTTTTGCGTAAAATTCCGTAGTATGGTAACTTAAATTTTTTATTTAGAAATTCTCAATATATGAACTGTTTACTCGTGAAGTGAAAATATTTGTGTCACTTAAAATTACTTTTTAAAGTGGTTTTACTCGAGTAATTTTCAGAGCTGTGAATTTTGTTTATTGTATAGATTACCGGCTGAACCAATTAAACTATTTTTCTTTCAAAAACTTCGAGATCTATGAAATGTTTCCAAGAAAATAGCAGTATATTATTAACTATATAGCTGTAAATATCATTTAATTTATTAAAGACAGTATCCCCATACGTATCAGATGGTTCCAAGAACTTTAGAATGAGAATAATATGTTCACCACCGACTCATTGCATTGCGCAATTTTGAGAAAAAGCAGAATATTAGCAATTGTACCATTATTTAGTAATCTATAATTTAGCTTTATTCTTTAGTACTAATTTCATTAAATTATGTTTCTTATTTAGATTATTTATGGTTAATAACAATTAAGGTATAGTTGTTGCCAGTTTGCTTGGAATAATAGATTCTTAAGTACCCCCCTCCCCCACTCAATTGGAGGCCCCCTCTCACACCTCAAGTCAAACAGGGTCTGTATAATACCTAATGTTTCTTTTTATGGTATTTGACTGGATTCATTATTTGGACCCCACTATTATATTGTCCCACGGTGAAAAGAGAAAACCAATAACAAAATGGTGCAAGGGTAAAATTATATTTATAAGTAACACAAGTCTTTAAATTGCAGTCCCCGACCCCATTGCACGTTGGCTCATGCAGTGATCCACTTTCCTATATTGCCACAGTTCTGAAAACCCTCCTACACCCTCCACCATTCTGCCAATTTTTTAGTCTCATACTTTTTAGTTTACAATGAAATAGAATCAATTATTCTATTACCGAAGTTGGTATCTCAAACTGAGTTAATAACTAAGAATCTTTATAATTTAATCTTAGCAAAATAGATTGAGTAGTTTTAAGCCAAAAACTATAGAATATTACTATCATATTTGGTATACTTTCTGTCGTAATTTATATGGTACCGTTTAATTAAGAATAAAATTTAATAAAGAAATGAACTTTTGAAACTTGTAATCTAAAACATGTCTTATGTATTCGTATAACTATAAATTATCTTATTGATAAAATAAAAATATTAAAAATTAAATTATTTCTTATTATAACAAAATTAAAATTATTTCTAAGACTACTAAAAAAAAAGTGCGACATAAATTAAAATAAATTGAGTAATTTTAATGACAATAAATTCGAACTTATTTCGGAGTCTGGGATAGAAGTTGATATCGATACAACCCACGCAAACGACCGTCAATGTATATTGGAATGCTTAATTTGTCAAGAGATGATGACAAGGTTGTAAAAATAAAAATTACTTAACTTGGTTTAGTAAAGACTAAAGAACAAACTTGCCGAACATGCTCCACAAGAAAGCACCGTGCATACCATCCATAATTGGTTTAGCCTTTGGCTACAAGGTGGGTGAATTTGCTTTGTTGTAAATTCTCAATTAGATTTTAGCGGTGAATGTTAAATTTTTGAACCGAAGCCTCGTAGTAACGATAAAGTCATTATCGTATGATTTATAATTAATAAGTTTTACCTCGTAAAAATAATAAATAATTATTGTATTAAAGTAAATTATCTACGTCACCTTTTTTTGGTGCTATTCTTTGTAGATCCTACATAAATACTTTGATGCTTCATGCATAGGCTACCTTTTTTTGCGAATGGTAAATCCTCAGCTCACTCATGCAAAATCATTAGATCATAGGTTGAGACTTGTGCTCAAGAAGCATCTATGAAAGAGAAAGAGGAGTCGTATGTTTACATGAATGATGTTAGAAATCTTTGCTTTAAATATACACTCAACTTTCACTGTCTTAAATGACCAGCAAATTATTTCAGGGGTGGTTGGACGTATTTACTAATTTTCCCTGGTTGCTTTCCTTTCTCAACAAAAAAAAAAAAGCAAAGAGAAAAAGCTTTGAGATTTTCTACTGCTACTATCTTAAGCTTATTAAAGTCTGCATATGCACATCAATAATGATTTCTCTTTCTCGCGCCAAATCTTTGCTTTTACCATTCACCTCTAACCTATTCCTTCACCTTCAACCTTGAGTCAAATAAGAGGGACTCTGCTTTTCCCTCCTTTTCCCTCAGCCATATCCTATCTTTAGTTTCCCTTCTTTTTTAGACTTTTTAAGCACACCCTTTTCACTTTTCCCTCAAATATTTTCTTCCTTCAGTTCACACTTCAAACTTCAAAGACTCCATTTTTCATGTCCTAAAATTAAATCACCCATTTTCCCCTCTCTGCACTCCTCTGCATCTCATCAGCTCATAAAAATCAAATGGATTCAGTGAGACCAAATCCAGCTCCAAGTAAAAGCAAGCTAGCAAAGACATTTCACAGAGTAATACATGGCAAAAAATCCTCAAAACCATTCTCAAACAATGGCTTCTGCCTCCTCATACCTCAAGAAAAGCTCAGGTGTTGTGAGTCTCAACACTTTGACAAAGAAGAAATTGAAGAATGCAAAGAACATTCCAAGAACAAAGCTGTTATGGAAGCCTTCGTTGCTAAGCTTTTTGCCACAGTTTCCTCTGTTAAAGCTGCTTATGCTGAGCTTCAGTTAGCTCAGTTCCCTTATAACAGTGAAGCTATCCAAGTTGCAGATCAAGCTGTAGTTAATGAACTCAAAGCTTTATCTGAACTCAAACACAGTTACCTCAAAAAACAAATTGATTCTTCACCACCCCATGTAACCCTAATGCTTGCTGAGATTCAAGAACAGCAATCTGTCATGAAAACTTACGAAATTACTATGAAGAAAATGCAAGGTGAAATTGAAATCAAAGGGTACAGCATATCTTCACTCCAAAATGAGCTACAGGAAACCATTCAAAACAACAAATCACTTGAGAGAAAGCTTAACGCTAGTGGATCATTCTCTATTCTTGATAATGTCAAGTTTTCTGACGTAAACCCTAAAGATTTTATCATGGTTTTGCACTATGCCATGAGATCTATACGCAACTTTGTCAAGTTCTTGATTAAGGAAATGGAGTCTGCTAACTGGGATATTGATGCTGCTACAAACTCTATTCAAAATAATGTGACTTTCCATAAGAGTAATCATAGGGCTTTTGCCTTTGAATCCTTTGTTTGCAGGGAGATTTTCTGTGGGTTTAACGAGCCTGCATTTTCTGTTCAGAACGACGATTCTTTATTTTACGGCGGGACAAATCGCCGGAATTTCTTCTTTGAACAGTTCAAGAAGCTGAAATCTGTGGGTGTAACCCATTTTCTGAAGCAGAATCCTTCTTCCCTGTTTGGAAAATTCTTGAAGGCTAAATACCTTCATTTGGTTCATCCAAAAATGGAGTTTTCATTCTCCGGGAACTTGAATCAGAGGAAGCTTGTGAACTCCGGCGAGTTCCCGGAAACAGAGTTCTTTAAGGTTTTTAGCGAGATGGGGCGGCGCGTGTGGCTTTTGCATTGCTTAGCGTTCTCTTTTGATCAACAAGTTAGCATTTTTCAAGTGAGGAAGAACTGTAGATTTTCTGAGGTTTACATGGAAAGTGTCACGGACGAGATTTTTTCAGCTGCCGGCGTTGAGTTCAAGGTGGCATTCATGGTGGTCCCCGGGTTTAATGTTGGGAAAACGGTGGTACAAAGTCAGGTATATTTATCTCCGATCACTCTGCCGGCCAAGCACTAGTGGTAAATAAATATTAGAGGAAATTAAGTAAAGTCATATCCTCACTCGCTAGAGCCTCCACGCGCCTCCTTAAGTGGTGGAACTCCGCCATAGCATGTAAATGGTTGGATCAGCTATCAACCTTCAATAAATGAGTTGATCAAACGATATACGTGGCACACTGAGTAATACTACTAGCTTACTACCCATGAGGGAGGCGCGTGAGAGTTGGCGGGGGTGGGCCTAAAGGTACGGATTATCGTCTCGAAAGTGATGGGGGGTGCGGTCCAAAGCAAAAGTGGGCTTTTGGGCCCACACTTGAAAGTGGTTCAGGGCTTTCAAAAGAGGGATATGAACTGGATTTTGGAGGATAGTACAGAAAGATTGGGCGGTGAGACAAAAGGCAAAGTAGGCTCAGTCAGGTTGTGGGCCCAACAAGCGTATGTCTTTGTTTCTTTGCTACCAGAGCATGTGGGACCCCTTGCTCTGTGCTTAGAAAATTGCTAAAATGTTGTTTATTCTCAGATGTACGTTAAGGAATGATAAGACATGCCTGCAACTTGCATATGAGATTAATGTGTATACAAAAAATTAGGTTAAGTATTATATACATAATATAAAATATTAATATATGATGGTATCTTTGCTTAGGATCTTGGATCTACTTGCACACAATTTCTTATTTCCTTGTTTCATTTTACATTTTTTTCGACCTACTCCGAAGGCAAAATACTTCGAAGAGCCAATTTCATGTGTGCGAGTGGTCTTGTCAATAGTGCTCATGCTCACATTTCAATATGTATTAATATGGTATGTAATGTACATTTTTTAAAATTCTCCGCCCCTTTCTTTGTTGAAGCTACTGTTCCTTTGATGACTCGAACCCATAATCCTAAAATTATATGTTGGGAGTGCTTATCATCGGAGCAACACCTTTTGTTGTGTAATGTACCTGATTTAAATCTTTTTTTGCACATCTAAAATACTTACTAGATCCGTCTAAAATGAGCGTCTCGGACAGTAGCGAACCCGTACTCTGGTTCAAGGAATTCATCCTTTTGCTGTAAAATTATATTGCCTGCATAGGCATTTTTTAAAACATATATATATGCATATTATATGTTGAGTTAAATTAGCTTCTTTGCGTTACTATTTTATGTTTTGAATATTATTAATGAAAATATGGCTCCGCCACTTGTCTAGAATATTTAAAATTGTACTGTATGAATCTAACTATGATCTTCATTCGTAACCAATGGGTTTCTGAAAATTTGTCATTGTTTTCTTGTAAAGTCGGAATAAAGTATGGTCTAGCGATGACGGAACAGCGGGCTTTGGATTCCACATTCCTAGGCAGATATGAATCTAGAATATAATAAGTTTAATTTAGCACATAACAACTGTTCTTATAAAATCTCATTCTATTATTGGGCTTGTGGTAATAAGCGTAAGTCAGACCTCTATGTAATATTGTTAGAAGTGGAATTGCAAATGAATTTTCTCGTTACTATAGACAATCATCCTTTCTGGAAATTCGTTCTTATTTCTCAGGTAAAGGGGACACAATTCTGAAAAGGAAATGTCATATTCTATAATAATACTTACAAAACAGATTCACGGGTGCCTTTAGAAAGGCATATTTGTGACTGTTTCTTGTTACTTTTTGGTACCCACTTCGTTTGTTTTCTTTTACCAGTAAGTATGTTTGTGGTATTCGCAATTGTTTTAATACGGTACCACTTCTCAATTGAACAAAGGATAGAATTAGCTATTATGTAGTATTCCTAGCTCATTTAATTAGAGAAAAAATGTCAAGCTATTTCGCACTTCGTTAGTTTTACTGTGTTCAGAAATTTCTAAGGACTAACTGAAAATTTATACTACCAAATATAATGGGGAGATACTGGATTTGAAATTGCCCTGCCTACTTTTTTTTTATTTCTCTCTTACACGTATTTAAAAGCCTATGATGTGCTAAAGTGTTTTTTGTTTGGTTGTTAAAACGAGTATTCGTGCGAGTTGGAGATACTGAAAAGATAATCATACATTTCATCATTCAAGAGAATCATAAATAAACTTTATTTTATCTCAATCATCGAGATATTTTTGTAAAGATTAAATTAATTAGTTGATATGGTTCAGGACCTGTTACATCCATTTCAGTAACAAATTTTGGGTCCTTAATATTATAACAGAACTATTTTCTTAATCAAATCATGTTCAAGTTTCTTATTAATCTTTTGATATAACTGCTCAAGCTTTGCTAAATAAGACGCATTGAAGTTTTTGGATATATGTAGTGTATCCGCAACTAACTTCAATAGAATTTCTTTTCTCATCAACTCTTTCCCCTTTAGAAACTTTCTAACCACTGATTCAACATTTGGATTAACAAATAAAATGGCTGATCTCCGGTTGAAATTATGACGACAATCTCAATTCCACACAGAATAGAAAGCTCCATTGCTCTCTTGCAAAGAAATTTTTGCTTATTGTAAACTATAGCTTCCCTAGCTTGTTTATCCCTAATGAGCTTCATCTCAACTTTTCTTCTCATTTGGAAACTTTTTTTTGCCATAATTACCCTAACAAAAGAGAGAAAGATATCAATTTCTTTTTCAGAAAGGGTTTCAGTTTTGATTTCTTAGAGTGAGAATAGATTGGTGGGCATACACACAAATTTATAGCAACGGTACGTAGCAGGTTTCAAGTTTTGGTATTAAGATAAGCTCCCCTTAAATTTGATTAGACTGTATTTTGCCTCCTATATTTTACAAAACTTCACTTAAGCGCCCGAGTTTTGAGTTTTAACACAAAAATCTCTAATTAGCACCTTTAAATGAATACTTATCTAAAGGTGCTGAACTAATACAAACTTATATGAAATGATACCCAAAATGTGTCTTTACTTAATATGGAACTACATCCTTTGTACGATTTGGGATGTAGAAATAGCTAAGAAAGGGAAATGTACGTAGTTACTAGAGGACTATGGTAGTTCTTTAAGAATATTGATAAAAGCAAAAGGAAAGTACTTCCAAGAATAAAATAATTCTTCGTGTAGTAAAATGAGAGAGATGTTAGAAATAGAGTAAATTGTCCAATAGCTTTCTCCTTCTAATATATTCATAAATATTATAAGAAAAAGAACTCTTAATCATTAATTGTTTTCAGTTTCTTATATTCTTTATGAATCCTTACTTCTATTTACATACTTTTGATCCCAATTAAAGAAGTAAAAAAGATTACATATTCCAATGACAAGCAATAAGAAGCAAGAAACTGTAGTATGGAACTGGCAAAGAGAATTTTGGCTAAATAAATGTAATACTTTGTCCCCCTTTTTTGTATTGCTATGTGATTGACACTGAGTTTATATTTGACCTTGAAATGTATAATATATAGTGGTAAAGAAGAAGTCATAGTCAGTATTCTCTTAGAAAATAAAATTTCCAATTAAAACTTAAATTAGATTACATAAATATAATCAAACGTTAAAAATGTTTGAAATTGTATAAAGTAATGTTATTAGATGAATGTATCAAACATTTCATGGCATACCGAAATAAAAAAAAGATTCAAAATAACCTGAAACACAGCGAGTAATTATTTTGTATTTGATTAGTCAAAGAAAATATCTGGTAAGTATTATTTTTTATTCTAAAATCAAATAATAATGCGTGTACATCATATTAAACTTTTTATTGAAGCTAAGTTATTTTTATTTATGTAAGAAAAATTAAATTTGTTTAGTGCAAGGTTATATAAAGGGAAGGGGGATCAGTGTACTTTACAGAACTAGAGAGGAGGGAGAAAGTAATTGTGCAAAACTAGAGGGAAAGAACCAAAGAAAGAAAAGTTTGAAACTAACTGGTTGCTGTAGTTGACATCTCAGGGGTCGTTTGGTACGTGGACTAAATAATTCCGGAATTATAATCTTGGGATTATTATTCCTGAACTAATTTATCTCACCTGGGAGGTGGGATAAAATAATCCCAAGTTTGATGGAATAAGATGAGATATCCAATACTAAGTTTGGGATTAAATTTATACCGTCAACCAAACATGACATAAATTTAATCCACACCTTATCCAGCGTACCAAGCGACCCCTCAAATTTAGGGTAATCTGGGGTGGACTACCTAAATCTGTTAGTACTTATTTTATTTTGAAAGGAAAATGAAATGAAACAGTACACAAATCACCACTTTTTCAATTTATTCTTTTTTCACTTTCTAATCTTTTCCAATGTCTAAATACTATTCACTTAATAAAAAATGGCAAATTTTTTATTTAATTGCAAATCCTGATCACTTTTAAAGAAGATCCATAAAAGATGGCTAGTTTTTTAAATGGCCCTTGTTACTTTTCGAATCCAATCTCATGTACAGCCCCCATTATTTGAGGTTTATTTGAGCCTCACAGATTTGACCTAATACTGTGATGGCCCATAAATAACTACTCAGGCCTTAAAGAGAGGCCCATTTATTCTGGAATAATCTTTTTAGGAGGGACAATTTTATATATTTCTGTCAAATCCTTCTATTATTAAGTACGGCTGGTACCATTTCGATGTGTTTCAATTCTTTCGGGTAGAAATGGCACCAGATAGCCACTCCAAATGACTGCTATTTAGGAATTAGCCAGTGCGTCCTTAATTTTAGTTTTTCAGTTCAATTTTTTGGGACAAAAGTGTTCTGAATTGTCCTGAAGTTAAAATTTTTAGTTTGAAATTTAAGGACAAAATAAGTACTGTCTGATCTTTAAATAACATCCCTAAAAATGGCTATCCGTGCACTTGCCCCTAGGATGGGCCTTTGTAGCCCATAATAACTCTAAGAAGCCTTCAGAATTCGGTCTAAACACTACCAAATTATTGGGATTAACTAAAAAGGAAAAACGGTTTTGTATTGTAGGAGCAACTCTCCCTAGAAAATATTTATACTAAATACGACGATAACATGAATTTGGAAATTCAAAATCTTAGCGGGAAGAAAAATGCATCCGAAAAAACCACAATC